CAATACTGGTAGGAAGTGATAATATTACTTTACTACTTGCACAGGTTTTAGTTCTCTTTATCAGACGTATGACTTAACAGATAGGATATTCCACTTACCATTTTGAGAAGGAGATAAAAAGTCTAGATAACGAACCTACATACATAAACAAAGAGTAAGGTGGCCAGATTCTAACGTTAAGCTCGAACCCATATATGTTCCCAATCGTAGAAGGAAACGTTACTCAACGAAGTTCAAGTATTGTGCAATTATCGCAGGCTCGCTGAATGGAGATGTCGAAAATTGTTGTACTTGGAGCCGGCGTATCCGGACTCACATCTGCGTTATGTTTGTATGAAGAATTTCCTGAAAGAATACAGGATCTAACAATTGTAGCATCTGAATTTGTCGGCGACTACCACGCTCATGACTTCACGTCACCATGGGCTGGAGCTAATTGGGCAAGTTTTGCCAAAATTGATGATTTCGAACAGATTGAGAGAGACAAAGCAGCGTATCTGAAGTTTCTGCAATTATCGAAAACCGACCCATCGTCTGGTGTCAAGCCTTACATGCTCAAATTCTGCTTTTTGAAAGAGAAGGGACTCCCATGGTACATACAACAGAAGTTTGTCAAAAACATAGCTATGCTGAGTGATGAGGAGCTCCGCTTTAGAAATCTGGACCCCGCACTCTACTACGGAGTGGAATTTCAGAGCTTCACAGTCACTCCAACAGTCTACAATACCTATATGCTGGCCAAACTTCGCAAACTAGGGGCGAAGATTAAGAGAGTCGCAAGGCTAGACCTAATAACAGATGTTGTTGCACTTCTCGGTTACGTTCCTGATCTGGTTGTGAACGCGACAGGTATCAACGCCGGTAAATTACTTAGACTGGAGGAACCAGCCGAATTGGAAAAACTGCACCCCGTCAAGGGTCAGATCGTCCAGATTTACGAAGATTTGCCTTTCCAGGTCATGGTAGAAGGCTTGCCAAAGGAGCTTAACGCTCAAAGTGGTCAGTTTCTGAACATTTTTCCCCGTGCCGAAGGAGGATGTATTGTAGGAGGCATTATGGCCAAAGGCGACTGGTCAAATACTGTAAACAAAGAGCTAAATGAGAGCATTCTAAAAGTGTGCAGATACCACGTCCCCGAGCTTAAAGCTACCACAGTTTACAACTCATACGTAGCCTTGAGACCAGGCCGCCAAGGAGGGGTAAGAATAGAATTTTCAGAGTATAGGCTTGGGGGTCAAAGTCAAACCCTCAAAGTGGTTCACAACTATGGTATCGGGGGTGCTGGCTATCAGTCGTCTTACGGAAGTGCACGTCAAGTTTGCGAGCTCGCGTCACAGGTATTGGGGCGCCGGAAAACCTCGAGCAAATTGTGACAAATGATGGAGGGCAATGGTTGATTATTGAATTGTTAAGCACCCGAACAAGACCTGCTATGATTAAGTGTAAGCGTAACCGAATAGAAAAGCCAAGTACCAGACGAAGCTGAAGAGTTTGTTTCCCCATCAATACATTTATAGATTCAAAAAATTGGACGAGACCGGAGTCGAACCGATGACCTCTCCCATGCTAAGGGAGCGCGCTACCAACTACGCCACACGCCCATTTTATAAATTATTGTGAATGGGTGCCAGTTCAGAACTCTTTTTTCACCCACTTGACTCAAGTGAGCGCTCACGGCGAGATCATAGGTCATTTTTATTGTTTGTTGATCGTGTCCTGTTGAATCAGTTTCCTACGTGTGTTTAATTTACTCTATCTATGACTTTAATCGTTTCAATCGGAGCGGAGGTCAATAGTACTTTGATCTGTTCGTTATGATGTGGTGCCTTTTTCAAGAACTTGGGTTATTTCAGGGCAGTGAAACAAAATATTAGTGAGAAAAAGTCAAACTGCACGTTACGCGAAAGCTGTTCCTTTGGCGTTCCTGGAAGTGTTGTCAGGATTAATCGCTCATCGCTCGTTTCGCATAGCTATCAACTCCCATTGCAGTTTGAACGTAGCGTTAATGCCCCTGGTACTAAACTGACTGTTTAGTGATCAAACACGCATTTTTGAATGTTAAAAGATCAAATCCAATAACCTGTTAAGAAAGCACTTCAATTTTAGACCGCATCAATACCATGGCCCGGCATGTGCGTACACGTAAATGCAATAGTACTGTGTCACGGAAGCTGAAACAGTCCATTTTGAACATTGGAAAACAGAAGACAGGAGGGAGTCATCGGTGTTCAGAATGCCATATGACGTTTTCCTCCACATCTGCCGAGGACGCCATTGTACACGACAAGTATCATAGTCTGCATTTGTATGGAAGGAAATGGTCTAACAATTGGGGAGAAAAAATACAAGAGTACAGTATGGGACCAATTGCCGATCAGGACACTGCTGGAGAGAATCGGATCAAAAATTCAAAGTTTGTCCCCTCGCCACATGGTACCGCGGAGCGTGTAGTACAGATTTCGAAAAACAGGAAAAGTGAAGTCCAAGCAACTCTAGAGGTTCTCCGAATCGTTAACGAGGAATTGCAAGCGCCGCACAACGAAAACTACTTTTGGAGCCATGTAGCTGATTCTGACAACGGCTGCACCGTACAACGAGAAGAAAGAAGCAACGGGATAGCATTTGTTTATGTTAGCGAGAGCCGCGCTGTGGGCGTAATAACCGTGGAGTTCCTGAGGTTAAAAGAGAAGCGTGGAAGATGGATGGTTTGCGACACTTCAAGCATAGTGCCAAACGTTCTACCACCCCTGAAACTTGGAATCTCTCGGATATGGGTGTGTGGACGACAAAGAGGCAGAAACATTGCAACGAGGCTTTTAGAAACAGCTAGATTGCATTCAATTCCGGGGACTGTGCTAGCGAAATGGGAGCTGGCTTGGAGTCAGCCAAGCGAAAGTGGTGCCAAACTAGCCAAAAGTTACAACGGTGTTAAACACGAAAAGAGTGGCAGAATACTCATTCCCTGTTACATATAAATATGTTGATATTTAATGAATGCTTCATGATTGATAATCATAAGTATGGGAAAAAAGGAAGTAACGTTTTTCTACACGATGTATGTAATGTTAGAATCCCGAATGTCCATAGAAATAGTTCATCTTTTGACGGTTCCCGAGACTTTCCGTACACCTGCTCCGCTTGCGGATCTTCTGCCGTTCCCGCTAGATACGGCGCGCTTATTTTTCGGCGATAATTGGCGTAGGACCACATCATCCTCGAGAGAAGTTAGACCACCCCTTCTATTAGCGCTACCCTGACTGCTGTCAACTTGCATGGACTCATCATCACTGTTATTGCCGACCGGCTGTACTCTTGATTGCCTACCAGTCTCGACTCTATTGCTTCCGTTCTCCCCTTTTCGCGGTTGTCCAGGCGAGCTTTGCGGTACAGCGTCCTTTGCTTGCTTCAACTCTCTTTGTACAGAGCCTGGTGGTGTAACAGTATGGTCTTCTACGGTGTAATCGCTCACGTTGTATTCTATGTTCTTTTTGCTAGATTTTCTAGCCTTCTTTTGACGTCGATATTCTTCTGCACTTACTAGAGGGTATAGATCCCCAATAACGTCACTTGGTTTCAGGCCAAGCTTCATTGTGTATTTCCATTCCCTGAAAGTGTGCTGATTTAAGTAGAGCCAATGTTGCTGTGGACCCACAACCATTCCGGGTCTGATAAATCGTAAAAGTCCTATGCATTCATTCGCGGTTAACCCATGCGTATAGATAAGGTGGGCACCGATTAAACAGCCTGTTCTTCCCAGACCTGCCTTGCAGTGAACTGCAATCTTTCCGCCCTGTCTTATAATGGTTTCTGCGGCACCAACAAAGTTGTGAACTATTGACATATCCGGGCAGGACCCGTCCTCGAATATGAGATCTACGTGCTCTATGCCGAGATCTTCAAAATGCTTTTTGTTGTAGAGGTGCGAGTTGAGTCTGACCACCAATTGGACATTATTCTCTGAGAAGAATTTCAGCACCGAGCGAAACGAACTATTCAAGTGCGATTTGGAACTAGTAGTCCTATGCTGGAGGTCCTCCTCGGGGGATGCAAACGCGATGAAGTCAGGTGTTAGGACATTGAAGTCGCCGTTTTCCACCCTTTCGTATTTTTCATAAGACTCTAGATCGAATGCATTGAGGTTGACTAGCCCCTTTTCCTTTGCCCTCCAAACGCCAAATACGACATCTTGTATCGTGATTTCGAAATCGGCATTTGAGTAGCCCGCGTCCCTGAAAGGCATAAAAGGCGGGTCTACTTGTGCTAGTGGTTGTAAAACCTGATGTGGCGTCCAACCTTGAACTAGAAGCATGTAGCAACACAGCATACACGCAGCATTGGCCCTCTGACGAGTAGACGTAGACGAATAGAACACCACGGCTTTGCCAGAATTTTCAGGATCGTTCAAAATTTCGTGGAATATCACGGCAAATCGATACAAATGCCCTATATGCAATGGTCCAAAATCAAGATGAAACCGGTTGTAGAACAAAATGTCTTCTACCGTGAAAAATACGATCTCGTCTGTATCCTGCGGGGTATGGTCATAGGAACCGAGGTAAACTCTTCCTCGTAAAAACTCGATAGCGTTATCGATATGCACACGCTTTCGCATTATTCCACTTGTCTCAACCTTCGAAAAGTTGTACCTCTATTATTACCTGCACATTTCGAGTTTTGATCTAAAAGGTGAATCCGTATGATGATGGGGGCAAACAAATTTAAAAAAAAAGCTAAACAAGCCAGGTTTCTGTTTACGTTTCTGAAATAAAAAAATATAAGATCTTGTCCACATTAAAAAAACAAAAAATCTCCCGGGGGAGATTCGAACGCCCGATATCCAGATGACAGTGATAACATTACAGTCTGGCGCCTTAAACCAACTTGGCCACCGAGAGGTTGATTATGAGTTTATGGTTTCAGACAAATTATATATACCAGAAAAAAAACCACGAGCAACCATCAATAGAATCAAGCGGTAGGGTAGTAGTTGACACCGGCTCACCTACAACGATCATCCATGGGACGTAGTTGAAAAATCGAAACTTGAGACACACTTCGTTCTTCTGTTCGAGTCCAAGGGAATACTATCACTGCAAGTTGTCAAGACTACGGGAGCAAATCTGAGAGGAAGAACTTCAAGAGTGTTTTTCATGTTTCTTGAGATATCAGTGCGTTATTAATTCTTCGTGATCCCTGCATTAAGTGGATGATCTGACTTCTTGCATATACTACAGCAAACTCTAGCCGTCAACAAAGCAGAAAGTCAAATAGATTACCTTCAAGAAGAGTATATTGAGGATCGATACGTACCAATGTTGAGCTGCATACAGTACACCTAACGGGCGGGGCTGAGAAAGAAAAGGGTATCAAATCAAAAAAAGACGAATTCGACAGGATTAGAGATCATTTAGAGATTCCAGTAGCTTCTGATAGTTACGTAGGACATTAAGGGAACCCAACAAACCTGGTTTCCTAATGCGAATGACGAAAAAGGGATAAAATGTCTTGGTTAGCGCTCGGGTTACTTTTTTATGCAGGTCGCTCACAGCTCCATTTGCGAAGTAAGGAGGAGATCAATTTTTGAATCGCTCTTGTTTAAAGCTCGATGGCACCAGTTCGTTCTAAGCGCCACTCTAGTCCGAATCACTCATCCAAGGGTAAAGCATAATGAATTACAACTTCGCTAGAACAGTCCAAGACAACACAGCAAGTGCTTGATATGAGGTTAGAACTGATGAATGGGAGGAATGGAGCGTAACAAACGGTAAGTCTCCTAGGCGATGCAGGACATGTTTTTGACTCCTAGTGGAGACCTCTAACTGTGGGCGTACAATACAACCGACAATAAAATGAAACTTGCGATCTATTTGAGCAATATACGGCACAAACCAATCTCATGATTGGAATGTTCGACAAAACTTGCCCTAGCCGAGAAAGACCCAAAGATGCTGCTTATTCGAAAACCTTTTCATTTGCCCTCAAAAGGAAGAACAGCGCATCGTTAAACTCTTCAGCGATTAGTGAAAGGCGGGCGACAATGAAACAGACAAGAACCTTTGGCGCCTATAAAATGGGGTTTCAGCAATTATTTTTGCCTCAAGGAAAGAAGCTCTGTCATTTCGCTTTGCAGCACGCCTGTATACAAGCGGACTCAAGAACGCAATGAAGCTGGCTGTGAGAACCGAAGATATATTGAACCTAGTTGAAGTCATTGAAAATGGTGCTGCGGTTACCAGACAGATGGTTGATCTTATTCAGGCGATAAGAAGAACTCATAGATTCAGAGACAAGCAGTCGATGGAAATAGACGAGCCCAAGGCAAATAACAATCACTCTCAAAGTCAGAAGCCACAGAAGAGAGAAGGTAAATGCTGTATCGATCGAAATCTGTGTTTTCAATGCAAAAATCCAGGACACTCCATCAAAGATTGTCATAACATTTGATCAAATATCGTCAGATGCGCCAACTAATTAAGCCTTGTTGAATCACTCACCTTATCCTATTGCGAACCTAGCTAAGATTTGCTAGTTTAAGATAAACATCAAAAGAAAGGAAATAGTACCCACCGATGCGAAGTCGGGAACTCCTAAGACCATGAACATTTTGGCGTCCAAGAACGAAGACCAAGAATAGGATGACGTAAAGAAATTCATGTAGTGTTCACAGCCAAAATCAGATCGACTATTTTGATAGATATGAATTCCCTAACATCTTCCACGACCGTCAATTGCGCCAAACACTCACTTTTTAATCCATATTCCGGGTTATCGCTCTGTTTCAGGAGTACGGTTAGGAAAAGAACGCCACTTAATGAACATGCTCTAACAGAAAACTTCAATAATCAGAGCAGGTTGAGGTAAAAAATACTCAGATTGACCAAATGTAGTAAGGTTACAAGCAAGATGTGTTGTGCGGGTTTGCTTAAGTCCCTGAAGTGGGGCACAGTAAATTCTTGTGATAGTTCATTCCGGGACATAAACAACTCCCAATCTAAAATGACTGCTCTTTCTACTCCCTAAAGCCATGCGGAGACCATCGTGCCGACACATGAAGAAATCTCAAGGGACGGTTGAGCCAAATTCGCATCCTAAACCGAACGCGATGCCCCATTCCATGCTACCTGACAGTTCATGCAATGGAATTATTTGGGAACAACTGCAGGCCTGTTGCTCACCAGTCAGTTCTCAGTCCGTCTCTGCTTTCCTTCTCTCTTTTAACAACTACCCTCCGATCCGC